CTGGCCTCTCGATTTCTTTCTCCAGAAAGATGAGGCTTGCTTTAGAGTTTTAGCCATCCACACAGTTCCACTATGCAGCTCTGGAACCGGCTGACTCTTGGGGCAAAGATGTAAGAGAAAATAGGAAAAATAAAACCTGGAAACTGAGCCTCTTGTGAGTGTTTCTCCAAGTTTTGACTTCCCTCTATAATCTGTCTGCTTTTGTTTAATTTTCAGAGCCCTCAGATAATTACTTTTCATGTTTTGTCTGGAGTTTTTAGCTGTAATCAGCAGGAGATAAGGCTTTAGTGGGCTTACTCCGCCATATTTTTGTTTAATATAAAATTTTTCTTTCATTATTTTAAAAATCTCATTTCTTTGTTTTCTGGCTTACATAGTTGCTAGTAAGAGGTCTGTTGTTTTCATCTTTGTTTCTCTGTGCATAATATCTTTGTTTTTCTTTGAATGTTTTTTCTTTTTGAGATGGAGTCTCACTCTGTCCCCCAGACTGGAGTGCAGTGGTGCCATCTGGGCTCATTGCAATCTCTTTCTCCTGGGTTCAAGCGATTCTTGTGCCTCAGCCTCCCGAGTAGCTGAGATTACAGGTGTGCACCACCATGCTTGGCTAATTTTTGTATTTTTAGTAGAGACAAGGTTTCACCATGTTGGCCAGGCTGGTCTCGAACTCCTGACCTCAGGTGATCCACCCACCTTGGCCTCCCAAAGTACTGGGATTACAAGCATGAGCTACCATGCCTAGCCTCTGAATGCTTTTAATATTTTCTCTTTATCATTGATTTTCAACAATATGATTATCACATGCCTTGGCATGGTTTTCTTTATGTTTATTTTGCTTGGGCTTCTTAGAACTTCTTGAATCTGTATATTTCTAGTTTTCATCAAATGTGGAAATGTTTTGGCTATGATTTCTTCAAATATGTTTTGTCCCTGCTCTTCTCAGTTTGGACTCTCTCTCTCTCTCTCTATATATATATATATACACACACACCCCATATATTATATATATTATATAATATATAATACATATGTATTTTATATATATATAGGCTCAAGCAATCCTTCTGCCTTAGCCTTCCAAAGTGCTGAGATTATAGGCATTAGCCACTGTGCTTAGCCATGGGTTTCTTTTTTAATATTTCCATTTCTTTGCTCATCATTTTCAGATTTTCCTCAGTCTTCCTGAATATATGAAACATATTTCTAATAGCTGTTTTAATGTCCTTGTCTTTTCCTTCCATTGTCTTTCTTCATGTCTAGGTCTGTTTCTACTGACTGATTTTCCCTGTGCTTATGCTTCATATTTTTTTGTTTCTTATGGTTCATATGTTTTTATTTCTTTGCATGCCTGGTTATTTTTGTCATTAGAATTTAGAATTGTGATTTTTATGATGTGGATGCTGGATTTTGTTATGTTTCTTTTATGTAAGATTGTACTTTTTTCTGGAATGTGATTATGTTATGTGGAATCAGTTGGATCTTTTCAGGTTTTGCTTTTAAGGGTTGAGGGTAGATCAAGAGCAACCTTGAATGTAGGCTAGTTTGTCCCATTACAAATGCAGTACCCATTTACAGAACCTGCCTGATACTCCATGTGTTACTGGGTCTTTCCACTCTTGCTGGTGGAAACACAAGTTATTTTCGTTGCGGAGCGTGTCATGAGCTCCTCAGTTTCTTCTCCTTTCCAGTGATTCTTCGCCCTCAGCCTTGGGTAGTTTCTTCTTCTGTACGCATAGATCAGTGTCTGCAAGAAATACAAGGGATCTCCAGAGCTGTCTGTCAAACTCCCTCCTTGCCAGCTTTCTGCCCCACATCCTCTAGATGTCTTGGCCTCTCCAAATGCTGATCTCTGTATCTTCAACTTTGCAAGATTTCTGGCTTCTGTTTAGATTCTTCTTCCCAGCCCTGCAGGGTTCACCTTCTTTGTTTTCTTCCTTTTGGGGGATCACAATTCTATATTGCTTGTTTTCCAATGTCTGACAACCACTGTTTCATATGTTTTGTCCAGGTTTCTGTTGTTTAAAGTAGGAGGGTAAGTTGTGTCTTATTACTGCATCTTGGCTAGAAGAGGAAAGACTTTTTTTTTTTTTTTTTGAGATGGAGTCTTGCTCTGTTGCCTAGGCTGGAGTGCAGTGGTGCAATCTTGGCTCACTGCAACCTCTGCCTCCAGGGTTAAAGCAATTCTCCTGCCTCAGCCTCCTGAGTAGCTGGGACTACAGGCACATGCCACGACACCCAGCTAATTTTTTTTTTTTTTGGTATTTTTAGTTGAGATGGGGTTTCACCATGTTGGCCAGGCTGGTCTTGAATGCCTGACCTCAAGTGATCCACCCACTTCAGTCTCTCAAAGTGCTGGGATTACAGGCGTGAGCCACTGCGCCCGGCTCACTAAGACATTTTTGGTAAAGGCACACACTTAATCTTCCTGTTTGGCTGCAGTGAAGTCCACTGTATGGGAAGGACCTCCACAGAAGGTACCCAGAACCATAAATGACGTGTTTTAATCTGTCTTTTATTATTTTTAAAATCAAAGACAATTACCAATACTAAAGAAAAGCATAGAAAATATTTAAAATCTTATAATTCCTTGGTTCTAGTACTACTGCTGTTTTCATTGTTGTATATTAACCCACATGCATACATAGTTCTACAGAGTTGTAATCATGATATCCTTCTAGCTTGTGTTTTTTAAAGTACAATTTGTATTTTTTGTAATTTTCATGTCTCTTTTTAAATGGTTGCATATTATTTTTGTGTACCATAATTTACTACATAAATGATTGCTTTAGTTTGAGACTTTTAGGGAATTTTGAAATAATTTTGTGTTTCAATTTGGTAGCTCAAAAAAGAATGTAAAAACCAATGGCGTTTCCAAAGGAAATGCAGTGATGAGGTCATCTGAGTGCCTGTTCAGTAAGGAACAGAGCTGACAGGGTATTACAGAGAAGTAATCTGTGGACAGAGTTTAATACCTCTGTGAAAATGTGAGGAGGTAAAATTCAGCTCCATTTCATAAACGTCTAGGTTCTACCATCAGAGAACTTGTGATTTTGTGGGGGATCTGGTGAAAAACCAATGCATCTAAATAAATTTCACAATTGAGTTGAACAATACATGTATGGCTTCCTGAAACAATTTTGTTCATGACATGAATAAATTCACACATGCACTCAGTGAAACCTGAGTTCAGACTGTAGAGCTCTAACTTGGAACTATACCAAATTCCCTTGCACTAAATCTTATAAATTAAAAAAGCAGCACTATTGATGTGTTTTATTAAGCCTTCTGTCTTATCTTCTTTTTCATAAAATTGCATGAATTTATAAACATGAGACATTGCTGAAACAGATGTAGAGCAGCCAGATGAGCTTTCTTTCCCCTATTACAGCCACAGGCGCTCCCCTCTGATTGAGCTGCTGCTATAGCTCTTGAGAATCTTGGGTCAGGCGTACATAGTGATGGTACTCAGCTATGAAGGTCATATACAGATTGGTCACACATTTCTTAATGTTAGTGAGGGCGTACTTTTTTCTTTTGGGAAAGTCTCAGATACAGTACATTCATTCATTCATTTGGGAGGTAGTCTATTGAAATTAATAATAGCTAAAATTTATTTACTATGTGTCAGGCACTAATCTAAGAACTTTATATATAACAATTCTTTCATATAGGTATTGCTGTTATTCTCTAGTAGGTGGCAGGGGCTGGACTTGGACCCTGACCATTGGCTTCAGAGATCTTGTTCTTCTCTACATAAACGTAGGCTCTTGAGTCGTTTCCCTCCAGGTTTAAATTCCAGCTCCACTACTGACAACTTGTGTGAATGACTGCAATCAGTTACTGTACTTGTCTCCTCTCAGTCTTGGTTTTCCTCATCTGTATGCTACATTACATATACCCTAACTTGGTCCAGTGCCTGGCGCATAGTAAAGTCTCCATATATTTAGCTCTTATTAATTAGCATTCATTAAAACATACACTTAGAGTGCCTACCATGTGCTTGCTCTTTCAAGGAGCACTTGTGCTGTTTTGTCTCTTTTCTAAAATGGCATAAGTACTTTAATGTGTGACTCTGAAGATCATAGCTGATAGAGGATATATTCAGGTCTGTATTTCTATTATCTTTCCTCTGTGTGTGAGTTTGGAAAAGGGAGAGAATTTGGTCACACAAGGGAAGAACATTCTTGTAGATTCATTTTGTAGGTCACACAGTTAAGTCAGAGGAGCAAAAAAAGGTTAATCTGTTCTCACTCATAGGTGGGAATTGAAAAATAAGAACACTTGGACACAGGGTGGGGAACATCACACACCAGGGCCTGTCGTGGGGTGGGGGGAGTAGGGAAGGACAACATTAAGAGATATACCTAACATAAATGGCAAGTTAATTGGTGCAGCACACCAACATGGCACATATATACATATGTAACAAACCTGCACGTTGTGCACATGTACCCTAGAACTTAAAGTATAATTTAAAAAGAAAAAAAAGGTTAATCCTTGATTGACACATGACCATCCTATATGTGGATGTGTCCTGTTTGACTGAGTTTATATGTTAAGGAGTTTATACATATACATAGAGCAGGAAGGGACATCAACTAAGCCAGCCAGTTCCACTAAATCAGCCCCCCACCATTAGGGAAATGATAAATATGGCAACCAGGTTACCCTCACATCACCACCCCAGTGTAGATTGTAAATGCATGCAAAAATTAAGTTATAGAACCCTGTTAGCAGAGGGGAGGGAAAACCTAAGGCAGAGAAGGAGTAGAGTATTTTGATAGAAAGTGAAAAGAAGTTAGAGAAAAAACTCGAGTGAAAATAGTTGAGAGAATTCTATAAGCCCTTGTATTTTTATCTAAGCTGAGGATGTTTTTAACAGAAGATTGGCATAGGCTTTGTTTGGTTATTCTGAGAGTGCTATTCTGAGATGTGTCTTCATTCCTCATGTTTGTGTTTTATGCCGGGGATTTGACAGATCTGTGTTCTTTCCTTCTTTGCAGTCCTGAGGCTTTCTACCAATGCAGGCCAGTGGAAGGAAGCAGCTAGCAAGGTGACCCATGCATTGGTTAATATCAGGTAAGGAATGAGAAGTATCTCTTGCAGAGTTCCTTGGCTCTTCCTTAAGTTTATTGTACCTTTCTAAGTAGAGTGTGTTAAACACTACTACTATTTTAAGCCTTGATGTCTGTAGGAGTGGAAGAAAAATTGTCGTACTTGATCAGGAAAAGCAGGAGTACACGAGGATTTTATTTTATCATATTGAAACAGCTCAAAGTGCTGGCTGTTCTGTGAATTTTTTTACTGAGAGATGGTTACAAGCCCTTTTCAGGCATGCTAGTCGCCAGAGTGTTCTGTGTATAGGTCATCTGAAAGCTTTTCTCCAAAGATTTTCCGCTTTTCTCCATGCCTTCAGTGAATGATTCATGGAGATCTAGAATGTTGACCTTTTACTTTATGTGACTGTTTCTATTTATGGTAAACAGAGGCAAATGGAGTCCATGGGGCTGAGTCATTTTAGGTTGCTTATGAAACAGCAAGGCAATTACAGAGTGCCATATGTATTGGATAAAGTTGTGTTAGGCATGGAGTTGGTCAGGGTCTTGAGGAGGCACCACCCATGCGCTGGTGTGAGCTGTTGGTAAATGGAGAGGAGAAAGTGCTTTCACCATTGGGAAACCTAAAGTCGACTTTTTTTCTGTTCCTTGCTCCCTTTGTGCCTATGATTTTTTGTTTTCTCAACAGTTATTACATTGTTCTTATAAACAATTGAAAAATTAACATTGAGTAAAAGGCAAATCCAACAGATGGGGAACTTGATTTAGCTCCAGATGTAAGACTTGCCAGACATTCCTAGTAATAGTAATGCACATTTACAACTTGGTATAGATTCTAATGTGTGACATAGCTGGTCTCTGATTTTTTTTTCCTATATCTTTTCTTTCTTTTTATTTAAATGTAAAATGTCCTGTCCCTGCAGTGATTTACTACCATGTTTGGCACATCTGGGCATAAAAGGAGAAGTGTGAAATGTGTGTGTTAGGAGGACTGGGATGAGGGATCATGGGGTGAGATGTGCTAACAAGATTGCAGTGAAGGTTGATCTGCCTTACCTGTCCCCAGAGTCATTTTGCGTCAAACACAATTTTATAAATCTCACAAATAAATGCATATCCGCACCTAGCAAATAATCCAGATACTGTGATGAGGCCTTATGATAAATGCAATTTTCTGTAAGAATCAGAAATTACAAACTGCCTTCTCCCAAATATCCCTTTATGACCCAAGGGCAGCATGACAAATGTGGGTGTTTGAATGAAGCACCAGGTTCTGGGCTAGGGTATGAAGTGCATATGGGTATAATTTATGTTGTGTTGACTTATTCATGTATTTATGTAGGCCTTCCAGGCAGCTCCTTTTCCTGTGGGGCCTGTTTCCTTGATCACATTCCTTTATACTTGCCTTATCTTCTACTTTGTTGCTTTTCCTTTTGGTGGTTTCTGGCTTGGCTGCTGTCCCTGTTCTTCCCAAGGGCCATCAAGCAGCTAATTTAAGCTTTTGACCTCTCCTTTTTCCAACAGCTAAGAAAGGACTGGGCTGAGCCTTGTTACCATGTAACCTCTTTCTTCTCTTTGTATGACTATCAGGCCTATACCTTCATTTTCATTCCTTAAATTTCTCTGATTAACTTGCTGCAATAATCACATCATTTTTACTATTGCTAGTAATCTGACTCAGTATACATCTAAAGTAGCAAAAAGATCCAGTCATGAACAGGCTCAGTGGCTCATGCCTGTAATCCTAGACCTTTGGGAGGCAGAGGTGGGAGGATCACTTGATTCCAGGAGTTCAAGACCAGCCTGGCCAACATAGTGAGACCCTGTCTCTAAAAAACAAAATAAACAAAGATTAGCTGGGCATAGTGGCACATGCCTGTAGTCCCAGCTGCTGAGGAGCCTGAGGTGGGAGGATCATTTGAGCCCAGGAGGTCAGGTTGAGGCTGCAGTGAGCCCCAGATCATGCCACTGCTCTGCAGCCTGGGTAACAGAGTGAGGCCCTGTCTCAAAACAAACAAATCAATTTTTTGAAGAGATTATTGGAAAGGAGTGATTGAATGTCACCACAGTAAGGCCAGATCAGGGAAAAATACAGGTGGTACTAAGCCTGCAAAAGTCTACCATTTTTTTTTCTGACATCTATTCTCACTTATTAAATGCCAGACTTTGTGCTGCTGTTTCTTACATTACCTTCTTTAATCTTCACACTTTATAGGGTATATTATATACTTTTAAAAATATACTTTTTCCCAGTGAAGAAACTGAGTCTTAAAGATGTTGTATATTGTGGAAGTCCCCATATTTGCTCCTTGGCAAAGCTGAGAATTAATAATAGGTCCTCCTCCTCCTCCTCCTCCTCCTTCTTCCTTCTTCTTCCTCTTCCTCTTTCTCCTCTTCTTCCCCTTCCTCCTCTTCTTTCCCTTCCTCCTCTTCTTTCCCTTCCTCCTCTTCTTCCCCTTCCTCTTCCTCCCCTTCCTATTCTTCCCCTTCCCCTTCCCCTTCCCCATCTTTCTTCCTTTTTTTTTGAGACAGGGTCTGACTGTGTCACTCAGGCTGGAGTGCAATGGTGCGATTTCTGCTCACTGCAGCCTCCGCTTCCCAGACTCAAGCAATCTTCCCACCTCAGCCTCCCAAGTAGCTGGGACTATAGGCACGTGCCACCACACCTAGCTAATTTTTGTATTTTTTTGTAGAGATGGGGTTTCACCATGTTGCCCAGGCCGATCTCAAACTCCTGAGCTCAAATGATCCACCTGCCTTGGCCTCCCAAAGTGCTGGGATTACAGGCGTAATTAGGCTGAGCCACCATGCCCAGCCTAATCCTAGGTCTTCTAAGTCCAAGTTCAGGGCTGCTCTTTCTTGCAAACCATAATACCTCCTTCTGTAAAGCTGCATTGAAGACTAACATGGAGGGGTAAACAGAAAACTCACCATGATGTATTGAAAGGAATATGGAAATTTGAGTTGGAAAAACTGTATTTTTTTCTTTTGTCTCTACCACTTACTGTGTGACCATGAGCGAGTTACTTAGCTTCTGTGGACCTCTATCCACCATCTGTAAAGTGGAGCTGATGGTGATAGCAACTATTTCACCAGGTAGCGGTTGTGAGAATTATATGACGTAATGCATATGAAAGCTCCTGGTGAACTATAAAATACTGGTTATTTCACTTGTGTCTTCAAGGTTCATTCCTGTTGTAGCATGTGTCAGAATTCCCTTCCTTTTTAGGGTGAATAATATTCCTCTGTCTGTATATACCACATTTTGCTTATCCATTCATCTGTTGATGGACACTTGAGTTGCTTCTACTTTTTGGTTATTATAAATAATGCTGCTATGAACATGGGTATACAAGTATCTGTTTGAGACCCCACTTTCACTTTTTGGGGACATATCCTCAGAAGAGGAATTGCTGTGTCATATGATAATTCTATATTTAATTTTTTGAGAAATTGCCGTAGTGTGTGTGTTTTTTTTTTTTTAGATTTAGCATTTTGACCCTTTCTTAGAGTAGTTCCTAAGTACATCTTCAGTTTTCCTCTTTTTTTTTTTTTTTTTGAGATGGAGTCTCACTCTGTTGCCCAGGCTAGAGTGCAGTGGCATGATCTCTGCTCACTACAATCTCTGCCTCTTAGATTCAAGTGATTCTCCTGCCTTAGCCTCCTGAGTAGCTGGGATTACAGGCACGCACCACTATGCCCAGCTAATTTTTGTATTTTTAGTAGAGATGGGGTTTTTACCTTGTTGGCCAGGCTGGTCTCAAACTCCTGACCTTGTGATCCACCCACGTCGGCCTCCCAAAGTGCTAGGATTACAGGCATGAGCCACCGCACCTGGCCCATTTTTCTTTTCTATAAAAGTTAAGATATTACCTTAACCTTGAGAGATGTTTTGCTTTCCTTGGTAGGGAGAACTTGATGTTTGAATGAGGGCAGTCCAGGGAGTTTTCTTTTTTCAGTCAGTATTCTCTTAGCAGAGAGCAAAAAATAGTATGACTTGGAAGTGTGTACTCCAGTGAACCAATGGTAATGAGTGCTGCCTTAGGCTCCTTTGCCTTTTCACTAATAGCTTGTGTTAGATACCCATGACACTACTTTCTGTGGTTTAGAAAACAAGAACCTGTGTCAGAAAATCTGACCTGTGGTTATCCAGGAATACTGTCACCAAGTTGATGATCAAGGATAGAGATATAAATGCTTAGCAGTAAAATTCTGATGTTGTGCAGCATTTGCTTCTGCTGTTTATAAAAGGTATTTGTGCTGATCCCACATCTCAAAAGGATTTTTAAGGCAGAGTGAACAAACTCTTAGCCACCTCTTCTGTAGTATGTTCTTTAATAACCATAAGAAGGGCTTGGGTTGCATGTGAAGTCTTCAGACACCTAACAGCTGTGAGGCCTTCCAGACTAGTTTGCCAGTTGACGATATCTCCAAATTATGTCTTTGAGATCTGGAATGCAGTGCATCTAATGACTACCATAATGTTGTGTCTCCCCAGCAGGTGAAAGGCAGCAGGAAGGCTGTAGACCTTTCTGTTCTAAGAATACTTAGTTTAGATTGTGACAGTGAAAGTTAAAAGTACTTCGACACACTCGGAGCCTAAATTTGCTCAAGTGTCAGCCTTTTTGCTTTTCACTTGTCTTTCATGGCCTAGTCATGCTAGTTCTTTAACTGTCAAAGTTATTTATGTTTAAACAATTTGCCTCTATCTTCCCGTTTGATCCTTCAGTGAGATTCTTAAAATGCAGCTGCTTAGAAACTGCTGTTTTTATTGGAACACAAACAGGACCCTGTATGTTTTCCTCTCTATAGGAGAGTTGTGTCATTGCTTTGCTATACCAAAAAAAAATATATATATATATATATATAGCTCCACCTTTGAGATTCCACTTGTTGGTGTAATTGTTGCTTCAGCTGCTTCCACAGACCTAATGGTTCACAAAGGAGTACTTTGAGGGGCCAGTGCAGGGCTGCTTGGTGAACTGCAGCACAGTAACGGAGTCTTGGTTTAGGAGATTCAGA